CTAATAATAATAATAAATAATATCTAAAAATAACTAATAATAAAATAAAATAAAATAATCGTTCTATAACAATATTAATAAAAATATATTATAATTACTAATTCTTTAAGTTATTTAATTCATATAAGAACCTTTGACCTTGTACTAAACTTTTTAGAATCTTTTGTATTTTATTCTTATAGCTAATCTAGTAATACTATAACTAAAACTAATATAAATAATTAGACTTATTATTAAACTGCTATGCTCTTATAAAGTTTATCTAAATCTGGTACTTATTTCACAACATATCTTTATTAATTTAATATTTAATTCAAGTTTTACTAAGCTCTCAGTTTAGATAATCCAAAAAAATAAATACAATTATACTTTTAGTTTATATGTTTTCTAATATGTAATCTTTTTTTAAAAAGGTTTTAGTAACCTAATTAGTTACAATAGTCTTTTTTTAAATGCCAATATTTTATTTAGTTTCATAAGTTTTAACTTTATTTTTTAAATTTAATCTTTAAAATAATATTATCAAAATTTAGACTACTTTTTTATTTAAGTTTTTCATGTAAACTTTTATCTTTTTAGTTTCTGTGATTTATATAATTATAAAAACTTATTATAAGTTTATACTGCCTAGTACTGATTGTATTTGTTTGTGCAATAGTATATTGTATAAATGTAATGTAACTTTTTAGACATGCTGATATAATACAAATAACAAGTATTTTATTTCAACTAATAGCAAAAAACAGTTAACTATAATATAGAAAAAATTTAAAATTTTTATTAATACTAAGATTTGAACTTTAGACTAGTTATTTAAAAGGTAATAACATAATTATTTTACTATATTGTTATATTTCTTGTGTTCTATTTGCATCTAATTTAGATTTTTGCTTTGTATCTAATTATATTAAATAATTTATATATTTTTCTAAGTTTTACAATCTATTTTAATAATTTTCAAATTGGTCTACTAGGTTGTTTATTTTTTTAAATTAGTAATTTGAACTAGATAAGTTATAATTAGTTAACTAATTCATCTTAATAAATGTCAAATAACTGATTAAGAAAATTCTTACTAATACAACCAATTAAAAATTAAATAACCAAAAGAAAGCAAAGATTCTAAAAAGGTCTAAAAAGAAACTGGATAAATATAAAGGATAAGCAAGATGAATTAAAATTTAAGTTAAGATTTAAAATTTTTTAAGATAAGAACAAAAATAAAGACTATTGATCTTAACCAGTTGTAATTAGTTGATATAAAATAATTAAAGTTGGTTAACTGAATATGAATATTTTTTAGATTCAAATCACTAGATAAAAGTTGACTGAATAATTTTTGGTCAACCTAATTAAGTTCTAAAACAAAATTACATGAGATTTGCTGTATTATACAAATATGCAAGTGGAAACAGACAGAAAATTCAAAGTTACGTTTTTGATATTCTTACTATAAATGAATCAGAAACAATACTTGGAGACATCAAAACACAACTTTTGTATTACTTTGCATAGTAATTAAGCGTTTTCTGCATCCTCTGGACAATAATTTTCTATAAACATATATTTTTTATTTGCACATATTAATACGTATTAGGTTTTTCTTAACTAAAAATTGAAATAATTTTTTTAATTTTTTATTTATGTCAAATTTAGACTTATTATTATGAAATTTATTATAATTAAATACTGCTTTATTTAAACAATGATAGAAAACAATGTCAAAGCTCATATCTAATATATTTTATATAAAAAAAAACAAAAAAAACATCAGAAGAACTAACTCTATTTAGTTCTTTTTAATGCAGTTTTTTTGTTTCTTCTCAGTCTTTTGGCATTGCTGATAAGTACAGTATTTAGTAAATTAGAAGTTATCTAACATATATAGGTAAATACTTAAAGAAGGAGATATTTTTCACACTTACAATCTTTGGATTTTTTGCCTTTTGGCTTTGGGCCCTTGGGTCATTGTAATGGTGATTGTTTGTTCGGTCAAGAGGTAGAGGGTTTTGTTTTTTTGCCCTCGTCTCTATTCTTAACTTTTTTTTCTTTTTTTTCTTACTGATATTAGGTTCTATTGAGCAATAATATCACTGTTAGTATCTTTAGATTTTATAGTAGAATCATTTTCACTAACATAGCTTACCATGAATGGCATATCTCCAAGTATTTTTTTTAGCATGAAAAGTATCAACAAACGTGAAGAATTGATCAAAATATATTTGGTTATGTTGTTGTTAACGTTAGCCAATATTGATTAGTATTGTTTGTGCTTGTTCAGGAACGCCTTGTTGCATGAGCGAAGTATAACATACAAGATCCAGCTCAACTTGGAGCTTAGGGACTAATTCGTCCTTGGCTTTCTTGAGCATTTATCAACTTCAGTAACTTTGTAAAGTTCATTAAAAGTTTTATTTTTACTTTTTATTAAAACTATTTGTAATAATTAACTTATGACTTCATTTTATGAGACTTTTTTTAATAATCAGTAACATAATACTGTCAATTCGAAACTAACAATCAGTTCTCAATAATAACGCTGAATTCCAAATTTCATACAAAATATACAATACTCAATAGCACACAAACCAAATAACTTAAATACACATACAGTACAATATATTCGTATTGGTGGAATCACGCAAAAGTCTAAGAGAAATACAAAAAAGTCAACTCTCATTATTTTGTACGTGAAAAAATATTTTTATTAAAAAAGAAAAGATGGTCATTCACGAGTATAACCTTAATTATTCAACAGACACGCACATAGCTAAGAGAGGTTAATTAATTATATAATTAAAAATGAATTGGTACATGAACAAACGTAGCTATAAATAGTAGTTAACTAAAAGTATAAAAAAAATTAAAGGCATATTAAAAAAGAAAGATTATAGAAAATTTTAATTTGCTTTAATAAAATCCGTAATTTTAAATGAAAAAAGAAATTTCTATGTATTGTAAAAAAAAGGAAAAATTAAAATTCAGATAAGTGGATCTATTTTTTGAATTCTCTTAATTTGTAATTTTAATATATCCTATCTTACTACGAATAATTAATTTAATTGCAGTTACTGCCATCATTGCAACGAATAACACCACCTTCATCACCAGATTCGCTTGGTATATATAGGGGAGGTGAACAAGCATCTACAGTGCTCGTGTTGTATTGATGATGACACCCTATAAACAAAGTGGAAACGATATTATAATACCATGAAACACAATTCGGATCTGCAATACATAAATTACAGCAATCATGCGGAGTAGAAGCATTGTCAATTTGAACTGTTTGGTTTTGGTCCACGTAAATAGGATAAATTATGTCATTCCACCCAGGACTACCACGTGATTTGCAACATGTCGGACATTTAGGTTTTGTAGGTTTAATACGTAACTTGTGAGCATCAATAGTAATGGATAATGTAAGTAAAATTGAAACAAAAACAATTAGAAAAAAATTAAAAGTTTGATGATTCATATTGTTTAATTTTTATATTAATTAAAAAGTTAAGTGGGGAAAATTTTGGGTTTATACTTATATAGAAAAATATAGACTGATTACATATATATGCATTAGTAATGTGGTAGAATCGTCCCAGTGATATTCGTCACATTACCGTAACTTGCGTAACTATAGCGAGTAATATAATAAGTTATAGCTATAACTTACTATATTACTCGCTATAGTTACGCAAGTTACGGTAATGTGACGACTATTCTACTGTATCACTAATATGCATGAATATGTATTCATATTTTGTTGTAAAATTTATAGATCAAGAACCAATAATTTTTAATATCATAACACTCGTGGTCATTTATTTACAGCTTATAGCATATGTATGACTTTTTTTTTTTTTGTTTACGAAAAATCCAAAACATAATATCATTCAGAAAATTAATTGTTTGTCGAACTTGAATCATCCCTTCGCGAATAATTCCACGAATTTGAGATTTGGGCAATAAACGTAAACAAAAAGCATAAATAAGAAGCATCATTCTCGTTCAGATTTATACATATGAAAAGTGATTTTAATAATTCGGGTTTATCACATGAATTTTGTGATAAATTTATCCAATTAAATTTTAATAAATTCTAAAATATCACAAAATTCATGTAATAAACACAAATTATTAGTCATTCAATCTATAACATGCATGCAAATTTGTGATGCATAACCAAGCATACAATAAACCTCCGAACCATTAATAAGAACAGTATGGTGAGTACACAACATAGTCAGTATATTGTTAAACTATGATACGACTGGGTTACTTGAATTAAATCGGAAATAAACGGAGATTTATTGTATTGTATTAAATTAGTCATTCAATCTATAACATGCATGCAAATTTATGATGCATAACCAAACATATACAATAAACCTCTGAACCATTAATGAGAACAGTATGGTGAGTACACAACCACATAGACAGTATATTGTTAAACTATGATACGACTGAGTTACTTGAATTAAAATTAAAAAAAATATAATTGATTAAGAATTTATTAAACAAACTAGAACAAAAAGCAAGCACAGAGATTTTTGATGATTGCGTAAATTTTTAGCGAAAATCAAAAAAAATCGAAGTTACAGTAATAGAATTAATGACTGTTCAGACAGGAATTCGATAATCCGGGATTTTTAAAGAATAACACATTTTAAATATTCCTGCGCTATACAATTCAAATTCAATATTTTACTTGTTTGATTAGATAAACCTTTTTTTTCTTTGCTACTAGACAATTTCAATGCACGATCATGCAATGTCTGTCCGAAAAAACCAATAAAATTCGTTACACCTGATAATTGTATGCAGTATGCAGCTCACAAGTGATGCGTAACTTATTTATACACTTTTAAAATACAATACTATAAATCTCAAACTAAAAATCGTTCCAAAACTCAAATCCCAAGAGTTTTCTTATGCTTCGGACTTTTCATGGGTTCCGTTTCCTAGTTATTTGAACTCTTACGGCTATTAGGACCATAGGAGGTCAAAAATTGAAGAGATCAAATTAACCCCCTTTCTCTATCTTTTTTGTTGGCATATCTTTGATCATTTCCATTTATATGTGTATTTGTACACGTGTATTTATGCCAGGAACGGTTAACAGATAACTAGAATGGCCAGTGTACAAAATCTGTAATATTATTGGATAACATACAGGAACGGAGTGTTATTGTGTAGCATAACACATAGCATATTTGTTCAATGACAATAAACGTAAACAACTAAACAATACCCAATGGACGGGCTGTTTATTTGGGCCTTTTCAGCGGTATTCGTATTATTACCGTAAATGATACACATACTTATAACAATATCCATATTTGGAAATGTAGAAGATTTGATTTGAATTAGTTAATGAAGATCATGAATAAATCCGAAAGGGTACGTACATAAATTTCTGAGTTGTTCGTTCTACGTATATCGTCTGCTATAAGCTATAACGATTAGATACATTATATTTACTTTATATTAATAAAAATAAAATCCTTAACTGTTAATTAAGTAGCTATAAATTATGTGAATTATCTAGTGACGATCAAAAAAGTTTTTTTTTCTTATGAAATCTAGATTTTTCAAGTTAATCTATTTATTTAGGGTTATCATCTATTTTGTAAAACAAAGATCATACACTCTTTACTATTATTTACAAGCTTGCTTTAGTTTTGCTAGAAATTATAAATTAGTGATTGTTAGAATTTTTAAGGTTCTCAATTTAGATATTAATAGATTTATCAATAATGTATACTCTTTTTCGCTTAGCTTTCTGTGAAATTGAAATAAAAATAATAAAAAATCTTGTTCGAAGTTTTAAAATTAAAGTTTTTCTTTATAATAAATCAATTTACTTATACTCCTGCTTTATATATTAATTATGTTCTGCCTTCCTCTCAAGATATAATAGAAAATAATTCTCAAACCTATCAATCTAAAGCTTTAAATAAAGATGAAGTTGTAAGAGATGAACCAGATTCTGGTGAATTTATTTCAAGTAGCAAATTTTGGAAAGATTCTGAAACAAGAGTTTTACTTTTTTTCTTGCTGAAAATTTTGATATGTATCACAAAAATAAAACAAAATTTTATGCAAGTGCTGCAATTGAGATTGGCAACAATAAAACTAGTAACCAAGTAGAATCCAAAATTCAGGTACTTCAAACTAGATACAAAAAAGAAAACAAAGAAGAAACAGGAAAGGCCAGATCGAAGTAGTCATATTTGGATGAAATGAATGAGCTGTTTGAAAATAGAGAAAATGTAAATCCAGATTATCTAGTATCAGTAATAATAATAATAAGGTAAAAATAATAGGATTGGGTAAAATCCATATTATAAATTAATAAAATCTACTACATACATAGATTACATTAGAATGAAATTTGTATTTATTTATGTTTTTTATTATATAAAAGTAGATTTCATCTTTATGTAATCCATAAAGCAGATTTTGCTAATTCAAAATACAGGTTTTACCTTGTCATAAAATAATTAGTAAGCAAGCTATAAAAATTGGACTTTATAAATATTCAATCTATTTTAATTAAATTAAATTTTTTTGATATTATATTAAAAAAAAATACTATAATTCATCTATCTATACCTATTTAATAATTATAATTTTATTTTAATAGCATATTAAAAGTGATGTCGAGAACCAAGCCATTTCAAAAAGTAAAAAACAAAAAGGTTTTGAACTTAATCAAATGTATTTAGATGAGCTAAAATCATTAAAAGAAGCTAAAAAAGTAAGTTTAGATATAGCAAAAAAATGCTTAAAATGGGAAAAAGAAAAATTACAAGAGTTATTAGAATGGGAAAAACAAAAGTTTAAAAAAGAACAAGAGCTCAAATTTAAAATAGAAATAGAATGAATGGAAAGAGAATTTCAATATAAATTGAAGATCAAACAACTTGAATTAATGCATAAAGAAAAGTAGATTCTTTGTATATGTTTTATTAAATTACTAGTTAAATATACAGTATATATCTACTAAATAATAAAAATTTACATATAGATTTGTGAAGTAATATTTAGACCAGGATAAAATCATTATTCAAAAAAGTTTCAAAAATTATGTAATATTGTTAATTTATCATGATTTGAATTATAATAATATTTTTATCAGAAATGAAATGATGAAATTACGAAATAGATGGCTTATAAACAAGATCTGTCTGCAAAATCTTAAGTTTGATTGGTCTTTGTGATTTATTCATCAAATTTTGGTTATTTTTCACATATAAATTCATCACGCATTATTTTTCACACATGAATTTATTACATATAAAGATCAATAGATATAATTTGAATACAAAAAATGCAAACATAAATGATGTCTTAGTAAAAAAAGAAATTTTAGATGCAAAAATTGTTAACCTGGTGCAAATTAATTTGTGCATTTACCTGATATTTGGCATTTTTTGTTTTTTTTTCATAAGATTTTTTATTGAGTTGATAGAATAATAATTGCTGATCATTAAAGATGGGGGAAATTTAATTTTTTGAATAATCAAACAATCTTATATGATGCCTTATAAACTTTTTTTTAATTGTCTAATGCAAGTCAATGGCCTGATAGTGTATATTAAATGCTTCACAATATATTAATGAAATGCTAAATCAGTTCTCATTTGTATGTTAATTAGACTGTTTGTGTTAACTACTATATTTGCTTTTGCTCCCATTTCTAGCATAGCTGCGTCATGCAGCTGCCTTATTAATAAATTGTAATTTTAAGTATAATAATACATATTAATCAGAATTTCAACAGAAACAATAGGTTAACTTATTAAAGCTGCTAATATAATATAATTAGCTTTAAATAAATAGAGTAATTTTACAGTTTACCTTTAACTACATTTGATATTCTTTGTGAATTGATAAGTTTGCTAGTATACATAAAGTTCAGATGTTTTAGTAAAGGAATTGGCAGTTCTTTTGCTGCTTTATTTGCTTCTAAAAATTGATTTTTATTTCTACATCATCTAAAATTTTTATGATATTTTTCTAATCTTCAAGTTTATGTGAATCAAATCTATGTATTGCTTAGCAAATTTAATATAGAAATCTTAAGTTCGAAAAGCAAATTCACCCGCAATTCACAGCAAATATTTACTGAAAGTTTATCTATCAAATTCATATCTGTCAAAAAGTCTTTGCCCAGTTGGCATCTTTAACATAATGACTCCAAAGATGTAAATATCAGCAGCTTGTGTGAACTTTCAACCTGATGTACTACATAAAGAATAACACCATAAATATTGCCTTCTAAATTATTTTCATTTTCTTTTTTAGACAATCCTATGTTTTAAATATAAGATTTTATATTTTCACTAACATCTTTATTTTGCAAGATATTGCTATCATAAAAGTTTGCATAGACAAGTCTTGAATCATGAATGTTATCTAAATCCAATGAAATATCTTCAAGTAGGTTTAATTTAATTTTCCAAGTAAGATCACTAAAATTTTTTT